AAAGTGAAAAAGTTTATACAGAATGTGCTTTAGGGTCATGGTTTGAATGTGTATTACTTAATTGGTTGATATAAGCACCAAAACATAATTTTGTGCATCATAGCACTTTTTACAAGAGGGTAAGTCTTCCAGTTCCCACATTAGTGTTTTAGGGTTAAGAATGCTGGAAATGAAATCAGTGTGGGGCTTTCTTTAACCCTTTTAGATCCAGTGTCCATTCCAATGGACATTGCATTTTCATTGTTTCTTTGGTAATTTCTTGAGATTCTCATGACTTTTCATCCTATATTACACTACATTGGACTCTATGCATGGCTCAGTTATGTTGGAGGCCTTCTCTCACCCATCAGTTTTGTTATTTTCAGTTATGTAATTACATGTATAATATACAATATATGGTATGATATGGTAAATATATACAAAATATAAAAATGATATATAGAACATACAAATTTAAAGTAGAGTAGTTTTCCACTCTACTTTAAATTGTTATGCTCTAAAATGCAAAAAAGTATATTATTCTGATAGTGGCCTTAATTCAGGTCTGAAAGGGTTAAAGCTACATTAGGCAAGTATAGCTACATATTTTGCTTGTTATTTACAAACTTAAAAATGGAAACTTTCACATTTTGCCAAATTTGGCAAACTTTGACCTTCAATAGCTCTGGAATGATTCTTTCTTAAAGCAATAGACCTTTAAAATTTCTTCAGAAATTAAGTCATTTCATTCCGTTTCTGTCAGCATTGATATTTTGAATAAAACAAATTTAATTGACTATCCCATAAGGCATTTAACCTCTTCATGCTCAAATTATGCTTTCAGCATGGGAAAAAAAAGTAGTTTTTTGGATTCCATTGGGCTTAGAAAACATTTGCATGCTAAAAAATTAAGAAATGAGAGTTAAGAAAAGCATTTAACTTCTTTCTGTTACCTATACACCAAATCTTTAGTTCCTCTTGCATATTTATAAAAATTTCTAAAACCATTTGGCTTTCTTCAATCTAAAATTACAAAAATGCTAGAAAAAATAGTTAGGAAAATAATATTTGAGAATTTCTCTCTTAAGAATTTCAATTATGCATTTTTCTGATCTGCTATTGATGTACAAGGTGATCAGAAAGTTCTCAGACACCTTTCCAAAGGATAGTTACTTTTGGGGGGGAAAGTTAATTTTTCTACTGAGTATTTTTTTAGCATTTTACTTTTCTCTGTTGCACGTAAAAGTTGGTTTTAGGATATCGCATCCAAATTTTTTTTTTCTTCAAGGCCATGGATTTAAGTTGCTCTGCAATCGTGAATGCTGCATGCGGTTGTTGATCAGTTCCCAAAATGATTGACACAGTGCATTTTGAAAAGCAAAGGGCAGACATTTAAAAAATGTTTATACTAGTTTAAAAATTGTCTATTCTATAATATTTTCCAGTGAAATTTTCTATTGTTACTTTGAATAAAATATTTCATTTTTAAACTGTCTAGGAACTTTCTGGTCACCCTTTGCATAGAGACTAACTGGAACATTGAAAAAAAATCAGATAGATTGCATTGCTATGGTGAAGCTAAGACAGCCAGTATTCAAGCAGAGTTATTATGCAAACCTATGGTAATTTTGCCAGAAAGGGATGCTTCCAAATGGAACATTCAACTAGGAGTTTGTCTAGGATTATTTTAGATGATGGACTTTGACATAACTAGGGCAAGTGAGACAATCTTTTACTCTGTCCATTTCTAGTATGCATGCATGCATCAGTTGGTAATATTGTAAATGTGCTGTAAATGCAAAGTGCCTAACATAAACAAGCATAGGAACCCTCTGCCAAGGTCCTATTGTATGGATGACCCCTAATAGAGGCTTTGAAATCTTCAAAAACATGTAGCCAAGGTGTTACAGTAGATGCTGCTTATTGAGGTCACTTATTAGGTTTTTTGGTATGGTTTGCTACTTATTTGATGCAAGGAAATGTGATAACATAAAGCAGCTGATAGCAATAGATGACAGCATTTAGGTGGTTGGGTTTGGTTGGTTTTTGAAATAAGGTCAGGTTATCTGGCTTACAACAATAAGCAGTGTCTACTATATTATCAACAGAAACTGTGACTTGGGACAGAGGTCTCCAGAGTGGTTAGTCCTTCTTAGATCATTAAAGCCTCTTCTGAGACAAGCATGAGGTACAGGGTGATTATAAAGTCTCTATCTATTTTTATGTGCAGGGTGGGGCAGAAACACCTGATGGGTTTTTAATTATAATAACAAGTGACTGATAGATATGTTTCATAGTGATATATTTTGAATTCTGCATATATTGGAGAATACTGTTTTCCATACTTCAAATTATTTTTTGAAGGTCATGTCCTGCAGATGGACTCCTATGCAGTCAATACACATTCTCCTGTGCATGTGATAGGCGTGTAGAGTGTTTCTGCAGTGTCTTATTTGTCGCTTTGGGGACCTGAACTGACCTCCCCACTTGCTGGACCTGGCAGCACCTGATTTTTTTGGCATTCTGGTCATTGGTGGTTTACATAAGGCCAGTGATCTACATGCTATACCATACTTATTGGCATTTGGTTCTTGGTGGTCTACACCTTACGCATTGGCATAACCCTTCAAAGTAGTGTGACATTAAGAACCTGATGAACTTGTTAATGCATAATGATACAATTCCAACCCCCAATTAAGCACTCAGTGAATGTCTCTCAATAAACTTAAGAAAGTATTGGTGCCTTGGTTCATTGAGCACCACTAAATTTCCTGCAATATCAGGAAAGCATGTCCAGGTTGGTGCCATGCATTTTACTCATTTTTAACACCACCACAGGCATGCAATAGTTTAAGGATTGACACCTGTGATGGGATCAACAAAGTTCATCTGGTAGTTCACAGTTTGGTGCTGATATCCATAGTGTTGAAAGTGGCATACTCAGCCCACTTAGACATAATCAATGTTCCTGATACAACCTTATTCTGAATGATTGGGAGCTAAGTTTTCTGATCATGACGTAATCCTCTTCATAAGGAAGAATAGGTCAGAGTTCTCACACTTTATTGGTTCAAGTCATTTCCCTGGAGTAAGTGGAATGAATCCTTTTCCTGGAATCATCAGGGGGGTGTGGTGTAGCCAAGGAAATGGGGTAGAGAGGGGTTAATTCAAGTCAGGTCTCCAAAATGAATTTTTTAAATGTTATCAGAGAACCTTAGGACTTGTATTTTCTGAATGTTTGAGTGTGTAGACCACCAATGACTAGAGAAACATCAATGTAGACCCTCAATGACCACAGTGCCAATTTTTTCTTGTGGGGCTATTTAAAGAGCAAGGTGTATGTGTTACATCTGGCCAGTATCAATGATCTTGAACATATTAGTCACGAGATTTGAAACATACCCAATGACTTACTGAGCTTAGTCATGGCATTCGTGTCTACATGCGCAGAAGAATGTATTGACTTTAAAAGAGCCCATCTGCAGGAAATAATCTTAAAAAAATAATTTGAGGTATGGAAAACTGTATTCTCCAATGTATGCAAAATTAAAAAATGTATCACAAAAATATATATCTGCTATCAGTCATTTATTACAATTAAAAAACCAGCAGGTGTTTCTGCCCCACCCTGTATAACACTACATACATGGTGTTCCAAAAAAAAAAACTGTCAATTAGTTTTTTGTAGGAATGATAGTAACTTTTATCCAATCAGTCCAATATTTCATAAACTGCATTTGAATATAATAAAGAAGGAATTTATCAAATTTGAAGGAAATTGACTGCTTCATATGCTACACTGTTTCAAACTTGAAGGATAAGAAAAAGCACTGGACATCTGGAACTGAATGTCATCGATGGAACGAATCAGAAATGGCAATAGTAACTGCATGTTTGGATTTGAAAATATGGGAACCATTTTGAGCATATGCTGTGACCAAAGGTATGAATTTGTTTAAAATTCAGCAGAAACTTTCCATTAAATATTCACATTCAGTGTTTCTTAGATTGGGCTGATCAGATGAAGCTTACAATCTTCAGTATAAAACAAATAGGCAGTTTTTTTGGAACCCCCCTATTCCAAAAAAAAAAAACCTGCTGAATACCAAAAATGAATTTCCTTTGAATTGGGAAAAAAATTTTTATCAAAATAGGATGACGAAGGGAAGACACTAGGCCCTCTGCCTCTTTGGTATGGCATGCACAGACTTTCATTCATTTCACTGGCTGGGGTGAACACATCAGCAGACTTATATGGCAGACTTTTTCGCCTATAAAGTTTGAGCTAGCATAGAATGTTATGCAATGTGTCAATTTTCTTCAAATTAGGTACATAACTTCTTTCCTCTATCCACAAGTAGTGTTTAAAAAATTGAGTCAATCCAAGAAAATTTACTGTCATTAATGAAAATGATTTGGCAGTTTTTTTTTAACACTGTAAAAATAGAGCAAGACTTGATAATCACCGTATATACTATACACTTGTCTCTAGTATAAAATATATAAGCAGACATTTCATATTAAAGCATGCATTCACCATGTTGGACCCAGATGAAGTAGAAGATGGTCCAGAAATGAACTGCCAGGTGTCTTATAGCAAATTACAGCTGGCTTGACACTTTCAGTGAAATTCCTTTGTTGGCAGGCATTGAGGATCAGCCTATGTGCAAAAATACACCATTGGGGATGTTCTTTATTGAATCTTGCACTCTAGCTGTTCAGTAACAAATAGTAATAGAACTGACTTAAATTAAAATACACAAGATAGAACTTTCTCAGAACTTCAAGCTACATGTTCAATCCTATCAAAGTCATCGACACTTCACAGTACTTATACACTGATGTGCTAACTAGGCCTATTATAAGTTAGATCTAATAAGCCATACTGGAAATGTGTGACTTTTTTGTTGTTTTTTCAGGTTAGTGGTGTCCCCATTGTTTTCCCCAAAAGTGATGTAGGCTCATTGCACTTCTATATTACATGCTGGAACTTTAATTGCTGCAGCATGTTATTGTGAACAATGTCTCAGTCACAGTCTAACACAGTTGCAAAACTTTATAAGAGTGTCATAGAAGATGTGATCTTATCTTCCAAAGAAATCTTTCTGGATGAAGGTATTGATGAGCAAGTTCTGACAGAACTCAAGAATTTATGGGAGCAGAAGCTGGCCCAGAGCAAAGCTGTAGAGGAGCCCCCAATTGTACCTGATCCAGTCATTGGTTCAGGCCTACCATCTGATGGTGACGGACTTAGCAATGGGTCACAAGGTGCTGCTACAGCAGCAGCATCCTCCTCATCTCACCTTGTTGCTGTGCAGATCAACATCCCCATGCAAAGTGGTGTTCCCAATTCCCCAATGAGGCACATCACCATTCATGTTCCACATACAAGCTTGACCTGTGGAGCTGCCCAGCTTCAAGCAGTTCTAAGTAGCTCTGCTGCCATGGCAGCCATGGCTTTACCTCCTGATGTAGCTGCCAGGCTATTGCAGCAGCAAGTGAACAGTGCCCTTGGAGTGGGACAGTCAGGCACTGGTGGCAGCAGTGGGAGTGGTGGAGGAGGTGGAGGCATAGCTGTTCAAAACGGTCAGGAGCAAATAGCTCCTATTGCTGGACGAGGACTTGATCAGTTTGATGGCCCCTCATATGTGAATATTGCTGCCTCCTCTTCAATGCAACCAAGTTGCACCAGGCCAAAAAAGCCTCGCATGATGCTTCAGCTTGATGGGCAAGATGATACAAGTGATGAAGATGATGATGATGATGACGATGATGAAGAGAATGATGAAGATGAGAAAGAGACATCAGAAACTGAAGGGCAAGAGGAGGAACCTCTGAACTCTGAGGATGATGTGAGTGATGAGGATTTATCTGATGCCCTTTTTGACACCGAGAATGTGATTGTGTGCCAATATGACAAAATATCTCGGAGCAGAAATAAGTGGAAATTCTATCTCAAAGATGGAATCATGAATCTGCAGGGGAAGGACTATGTTTTCCAAAAGGCAATGGGTGATGCTGAATGGTGAGAATGCTGGAGAATAGTAAAGACATTGATCCTGAAGTGATCTGTATTAACATAAAGTTTAAATGTGTCAATTGCTGTCCGGTTGAACATGATGTAGGATGTTCACTTGAAAGCATGGGTGAGGAGAAAGCAATGTGCTTCATTGTGGGCATGCTTGTTGAAGAGGAGCCTGACTATGCATCTCCCTCAGCCATCTGTTGAGTTAATTGCATCACATTCATATGTCTATCCTTTACCTATCTGTTATGATTGCTTCACATTCAATGCCTGCCACATGTGAAGTTATCCCCAAAATGAGTCTGTGAAAGGTCACCAATCTCCAGGATTCAAAAGTGATTCTACCTATGACCTGCAAAGTTACAGATGCATCATTAAGATATTCACACTGTCTCCCTATGCTTCAAGCTCTGAGAATGTTCCCTGATATGATTTCACAACTTTCACTTGTGTGTTTTTGGTATAATGAATCTGAAGTTCTTTATTTTTGCATTATTTTAGTGTGATGACAAAATTGCCACACAGATGTGCAGACATTATGCCCTAGGCCTAATAGTTGGTCAGCAGTGTTCAACACTTGTGATGCAAGAGAAACATTCTTTATCCTTTCATAGCATCAGAATGGCATTCATTTTTTATTGAAAGATTGAAGGTGAAAATCCATTCCTTCTTGAGGAAACAAACGGTCAAGTTTGAGTCTGCAATTTGTTTCTTTCTGTCAGCAGAGTTTTCTGAGACAAGAAATGTAGGGTAAGAGCCTACCTTGTTGATCAAAAGGAGTGAATTTTGTCTAAATAGGGCTGCTTGGTCCATTTCATGGCTTCTCCCTGTCTTTGTTCATTTTCTGTCACCCCTGATGCCTCACTCACTGCAATCCATAATAAATTTGCAAGTTGAGTTGATTTTCATGTGATGCCCATATTTTTTCAAGTAAGCCAACACCATTGAGACTGACAAGAAATGAGTGAGTCTCACATTATTTCTTAAATCTGGAACCATTACCTGTGTATGATAAAGATGAGCCATTGGTCTGGTTTTTATAGTCCAGGAGCATTCCTTTTGGAATGAGCTTGGCTCATCTGAATCGAGTAAAGATATCTGCTTCTATACTGTAAAGACCTTGCACTCTTACTAGCCAGTAGGCCCACATTTCCTATCAGGTATCTCAGACCCTTTTCCTGCTCTCCTTTGGTTCATCCTTCAGCAGACTTTTTCATGAAAGGGAAGTCCATGTTGGGAGTAAAATCATGTCCTTATTTCCTGCATATACGACTGAAAGCAATATCCCTGAGGAGCAAGGGTCTAAAGGTGAGGAACCTTAATTGATGTGAAATGAGTGACTAAAACTGATTTTAAACCATACACATCGAAGTAATTTATCACTTTGTAGTGAACATCAGACTTGGTTTTTGCTTTTTTATTGCATAATATAGCCCAAATGCATACAATTATATTGGTACTTTAAATGGCATATTAAGATAATATGAAACTTGTATGAACAGCAACTAAGTTACACTGTGACTTTGGTGAGGTACACCAAGCACAAACAAACATTAATGATGCATTTTGCATGTATGCAAAAGGCCTAAACTCCATTGCCATGTTTGGTCCAGGCTTTGAAGCTAGTGCCCTTATAAGCCCTATTTATTGCTTTAGCCAAACATTCCTACATCCAGTGATGGCATAACATTTGACAAACTTGGTCTACATTGGAGCATTTAGGAATACTCCCATCAAACTTCTTAACACTTTCACTGCCGTTCACGCCATGTGGCATGTTCAGAGTTCTGACTTGGTACACCAAACATGCCATAAGGTGTGTAGTGTAACTTTTCTGGCAGAGATGGCAGCAGAGCCTTAAAGGACATACTGAAATGTGTTGTGTGACCCATTAGCACAGGAGTCAGGAACCTTTATGGCCATGTGAGCCAAATTAAGGTGGAGGCAAGTGCTTGTGAGGTAAAGATTTTCGAAATCACAGAATTATAATTTATTGAAGTTGGCCACAATCATATGCATTCTTTGATGTACAAGAAAAACAAGGAACAACCATGGTTTTTACTGAGTAAAAATTTGATTATAAATATGAACTGAATAACCCCCAATCATGCAAACAAATCATTTTAAATTGTACTCAAATTGAACTGGCACAATATTTTTTTTCTCTTTAAAATGCCACTTGCCTTAAAAAAACAAAAACCATTTTTTGTGAAAATCTTTACTCTTGAATGCTACCTGTTACCTGGAAAAGAAACTTAAGAGTTACAAACCAAAATAATTGCTCTGAACAATTCATCATTAAAAATGGAAGGCATGAAAGTCATGAATGCAAAAATTGTTAGTTTGTGCTGTATTAAGTCATTGCCAAAAAAATTTCCAATTTTAATGCAACTTTAGCTGTTTTTTTATTCAATGAATTTCTCAAGAAGTTCCTCAGAATATTGGTATTAAAAAAAAAACTTATTTTCTGCAGCCTGTGAGCCAAATTTGGCTCATGATTTGCAGGTTCCCAACCCCTATTCTAGTGATATTTGTGGGAAGTTTTCATGACCCTAACTGAAATTCTCGTGGTATTTCTACATTCGTTTGTCAACCAGTTAGTTCTCCTATGGCAAATCACCCATCACCGAGCTGTGGATCTTTTACTTTCAGGTGTCATTAGATATGAGTATTTGATGAAAATATCCACACTCTGGAAAAAGTAGTGAAGGTATCCTTCAAATTTTGAGTTTTTCGCTTGAACCATTCTTGAGGAATAAATGTTTTTGTCAGTAACAACAAAATTTTCAGAGCAGCACAAAAATGCTTGACAATGAGAGGTTGAGTGAACCTTCAAATGCTCAGCAGCAAATGTGTTAAAATTCTCATCCTCCTTCCTTTTCATTATCAATTGAAGTACATTCCCAGCTGAAGTTTTGGAGTTAATACTCTGTCAACTTTTAACTCAGGCTATGGTATGCCAGATGCATACATCTGTTTGTATCTGCCATTCATTTGGATGACTAGAGAAACATCTTTTAAAATCCACATCTTTCCTATGGCTGAAAACTTTCCATACCCTTATTTTCTTGAAGTATGACAACTATTCATGAATATTAGGGGAAGTTTGCAGTAAACATTTCAGAATCAATAAAGAGGATATTGATTATGGCATTCTTATTAATCCTTCCAAATAGCAACTGAAGATGATTGGTTGCAAAATGCTAGTTTCCCAATCAACTTCTTCAAGTCACAGGAGGCTTCAGGAGAAAGGAGACCTGATGAAGAAACACTTGAAAATAGAAAGGATTCCTCACTTAAAGACAGGAAAAGGTTTGGTGATTCAAATTGTTGGTTGCAGTGCTACATATAGGGTAAGCATCCTGGTTTCTGGCTGGTCACCAGTTGCTGGCCAGTGAGGCTTAAATCCAGCATGATTAGTTAATCTGTCCGTTTTCAAGCATTCTATCAACATCTTCCTGTACAAGAACCTATTACTAGTGTTTCCCAGTGTGCACACAGGGTGTCCACTTCCTATTGGAGTTGTATCAGCATGGTCAAAAACTGGGGTGTTTCCCCTATATGTATTTCTTGTTTACTACATCTAGTGACTGATATTTTATAATTCCCAGGAGTCATGATGTTGAAATATGTCATGTGGATGAAAAGAAGGGTCGACCATCACAGGAAAGGTACATTTTCTTCTGTATGAATAATGGACCAGAAATTGTTATTTTGACCAGATAAGGAAGGCAAATAGATGAGGATATAACCATTATGTTTCTGTTTCAGACCCCAGCAATATCAGAAACAAGTGTTTCTGGAAGACACAAGCCTGAAACCTGAGAATGCCTTTCGAGTGGATCCAAAACCAGATGGAACTGCTCGTGCTTTCCCTGCTATGTATCATATGCATGTCCCTAGGTGGGTGTTTCCTCATGTTCATGAATATCGCATACTGGTACCTGTCTTTTTGTTCTCTCTGATTGATTCACTTCCCTTAGGTACAAACTAAATGGTTTCTTGAGCTGGGACTGCCTAGAAGGCAACAATCGGTGGCATAGGAAGAAGGAAAAAAAGTTGCCCAGGTATTTCAATAAGGTGGGGCGGGCAGCCATAAACAGGAAGGATGTTGAGCACATTTTCCTGAGTTTGCCTCCCTTTCGATCCAATTTTACCAGTTGGGATGTCAAACTAGAAGAATTTATGCCTTTATATTACCAGCATGCTGAGATGAACTCTCAAGCAGCTGAGGAAGAGATGTCTTCTCACATGCAAAAGGCAAAAGAGTTGAATCAGAGCATAGGTCAAGATGTGAGGAATATTGACAAATGGTTGGAACTGTTGAATCATCAAGATGAGCTGAGCTTGAAAGAGTTTGGTTTGGAGAATGTGACTGTCTCAATCAAAGGAAAACCCCAGCAGTCAGCCCTGGTTGAGAGGAAGCTGTCCATAGTGGAGGCAGCTTTGAAAAAAAACCCAGCCTCCATTCAGTTGCATATCAAGAAACTCCAGCTCTGTCGATTCCTCTGGGAACCTGCCAAGCTGAAGAAGGAATGGGGCAGGATATCCTTCCTTTTTCCCAACAGTATCAAAATGTGGAAGGAGTACTTGCTCTTCACTCAGTCTCACCTCCCTACATTCTCTGTCATATCGACCATCAAGACGTATGAGAGGTTCTTTGAAAAAATGCGTGCTTTCCATGCAGGAACTATATTGTCCCACAGCAAACCTGATCATCTTGAGGAGCATATGTTAGGTAAACAGCTATCATAAATTATAATAGACTAGTCAGTCCTTTTGCATTCTTTATAATTCATGCATTTATTTCCCTACCAGAGATATTTGCCTGGTACTGCAACTTCATGAATCAAGCAGGTCACACAGAGAAGGCTTTGGCTTTGTATCAAGCACAAATTGAGTTTAATTACTTCCATCCTGCTGGACTGTCATCTCGGGAAGAACTCTTAATAAAATTTGAACCATTCTGGGATTCACGGACTCCACGTTTTGGGGAAGAGGGTGCCCTAGGTTGGGCAGAAAGCATCAGGATCAGGGCTGTTGCAGGCAGGGAAGATCCCTCTGCTCTACAAGAAGAACGAGGTGATTCCATTTTTTAACCTAAGACTGGCCGTCATAGCTTTTCAACCAGAACAAGCCAAGAGGCCACTGATCCATGGTCAGCAGGCATCAATTATGATGTCATGCATTGTGTGTGTCAAATAGAAAGCCATTGTTGTCCATGCAAGCATTGTGTACAGATCACAGAGAAATAAGGTTTTTTGTGCATCATCTTAATGGGCATTTGAAACAGGTTGTGTTCAACCTAATCACCATTAATAAAAATTAGTAATATTATTTTTAAATTGTTGCAAAATATCCAAGAACTGGGGTATTTTTCCAGAGAAACTCTCCAGCCTCCTATATGTTAAGATGTCAGATGATTAAGATATATACATGAGACAAATGGTTTTGATCGGGCTGGGATTGGGCCATTCCAAGCTAATTGAACCAAAATACTTGCATACTTATATTTACTTAACCATTTTTGATTTACTTGTAAGTTGGTAAGAAATGGGGTATAGTTGTAAATACTGACATCAAATTTAATGGAAATGATGATACAAAGTAGAGGTATAGCACTTGCTAGTTGTGGTACCTCCATATACTGCCCAAGTTGTAGCTCTATGTCACATGTAACAGGCTCACTCCTAATTTAGCTGGAGAGATTTTCAATAACTCTTTTTTCAGCTCTTGTTTTGCTCTTCCCAATTGAAGCTATAATATTATTAGATACATTTAATTTTTATTCTTTGAGAACCATCCATTTGTGTGTCACATATGTCAAGGTGCTAGCCTGATCTAGTTGAAGTTTTACTTTAATGTAATTCATAAGTTCCTTTTTCACTGTGTACTCTGGCATGCTTGGTTCTTGAAATTTACATAAATCATTAAGTTAAAAAATTACTTTGAAAATCATCCACTTCATCGTGTTGGAAACATCAAATTGAGGAGGTAAAGTGTATAATAATTCATTTCAAAACATTTCATTGGAAATCAAAAGCTTTTTTTTTTTTCAGGAAAAATGTAGCTTGTATGACATATTCTTTTCTGTGTTAGCCAGAAGCATCATGGTGAGGTAGAGTCAGAAAGAAATATACAATCTGAAGGTGGAAAAGATACTTGTTGCAACAATAGACTTCAATGCTCATCAGTGTGTGGCATATGTATGATGGAAAGTAGTAGTTCTTAGTCATAATACACCTCACCCCAAGGAAGATGTCTGAATGAAATACCTTTTCTGGAAGAAGGAACCTGAACCTGAATCTTTTTTGGCTCATTTGGCTTCTGGCATTTTTTTCATACCATGTTATGACATGTGACACCTATACACCATGAATTGGGTACGTGTGAAATTGGGCATACAACACCCTCCTTGAAGTGAGTCTTATAAAGCATGCATTTTCCAATTTAACCACATTTTACTTCCTTGATCTAATGCATTCAAGATGAACTCATCAGTTTTCTCTATTTGTTTATATGTAACTTAATTCTGTGACAAGAACCAAACATCCCAGTAAGCAGAATAGCAAAGGCCCATTGTCAACCTATTTCAATGAAATCATACTCTACGGCCATCCTATATTATGTTCTACCAAATTTCAATAAAATCAGAAATTGTCAAGCATTGGAAGTGTAAATTGTGGCTGAATTGATAGTAACTATGGATGTAATAAGCAAAAAACAGCTAATGCTGTCTCTGCATGCTTCTCAAAGATTAGAGGGGAGGGAGGAAATGGTAAGTATTGATTATTTGTTCAAACTCAATTTATTATTCCTTTCCTCTTTAGATGACCAGTGGATAGGTGGGAATGTGTCTGTGGGTTAGAGGAAGTAGAGGTGGACAGGAAGTATTTTTACCCTCACCTCACCACATGTGATAATTTGCTATAAAGCTATATCAGGGGAACAGCAACACTGAACAATCCATCATGTTGTGCAGGATGTCACATAGAACTAAGTGACACATTACAGTTTGCTGAGACAATGACAGTACCCATTTGGACCCACCAGAAACATAATTTCAAAGTGGTAAAGGGACTTCCCATTCACCCTGTACATGGATACATGTATGTAATGTATGAAGGTAAATAATGCAGGGGAGAGTTAAACTAAAGAATGTCTACATTTTTGTTCTACCATGTATTCTAGAGTTTTCATCATTTTTTCCTTGCTATTCTTATAACCCTGCAGTAGCAAATGGAGGTGTTGAGTGCTAAGTTCACCTAAAAGTGGTCATCAGTCCAAGAAATGGGTCAATTGTATGTTTCTGTTGCTTCAATCAAATGTTGCATTTTTGCTTTTCATCTCATCATAGAAAGTTCTTGGGTGTGTGGGATACAAGTAATATAATTATCAGTACTGTTACTGTTGCTCTTACAATACTGCTCATAGGTTTCACCATTTCATCCATTTTTCCAGAACATGAGGATGAAGAGGAGAGGATTGCAATGGAGGAGAACATGTCAAGTCCTCAAAAGTGGTTAGCCATAGAAACACTTCGTGAGAAGCATCATTGGCTGCCCTGGAAACCAGGGGTGGAAGATGAATGTGAAGATGCTGACCGTACTGCATCCTTTGAAGATGTTTCTCCTTTTCTCTTTGACCTTAAAAAGGACAGCAGCCGATTTGGTCTTCTTCTGCATTTTCTCACCTTCCTTGATGCATTTGTCCTGCCAAAAACATCATCTTCACATTTAGCCTTAGGACTTGAAAGCCCTCATCTTTTTTCAACACTGCAAATACAACTCTGCCTTGCTGCATCATGTTCAGGGGCTCATGGGTTGAGTGCTTCCCTGGGTATTGATGGAAAATGTGATCATCCTAGATCACAGAGCTTTACACAATTTCGGGATAGAGTGTTTTTGTCCTCAATTGACCTCTGCAGTGAGGACCAGAAGATGGCAGTTTTAATTCAGTATATGGCATTTCGACTTGCAGAATTCCAAATGTGTCAGTTCTCCTCCCTGCAGGAACAGAAAAATGGTGCTAAGGAATTAAGGAAATTTGCAAAGAATTTATTGAAGAGTGCTAATGACCGAAACAACCTGGACTTGTACAGAGCTTATGCCTCCATGGAAGAGGCATGTGGCAATGTCCAGGAAGCTTCACGCATCCTTGAGACAACTCTTGCTTCCATTGATGGAAGCAGATACACAACAACTGTGCTAAGTCTGGACTATGCCATGATTCTGAATGTCTTGTGGCATTGGATTACACTTAAAATGAAGGCACATAATCATGAAAGAGTATTATGGGTCTTGGCCTCAATGGGAGGTGGACTGGGAATAACTCTGGGGCAGGAGAAGGAAACGACACCCTCAAGCCTAATCTTAAAAGCTCGGCGGAGGTTTCCTGAAGAGTGGAAGAAACTGGTGATAGACTCCCATTCAGTCCTAGGAGAAGGACATGTGTTTCTCGCCATTGTTCCTGGCTTATCTCATGCATCTGATGTTCTTCTGACTTGGTCAGCCTGTCATGCCCTGTTCCAGTATCTAACCATGGGCAGCATTCAAGCAGGTTCCTTGATCTTCTCTCATGCATTATCTGAGCTCAAGTGCAGTAATGCTAACCAGGAAGAGGAGAAGTTCAAGCCTGGTATCTTGAGGTTGGTGAAGTTGTTTTTGACTAAGTTTTACAAATCAGACAGCAAAGTAGTCTGACCTCACATCATATCTGTCAGTCAACTCAGATAATGGGTAGATTGATATATAGTTCAGCCGTGGCAATACCCTTCCTTGAGGCCCTTGCAATGAGGCAGACATAAAATACTGTTTGTTGCATGGGTGACAGAAGAAGAAAAACTGGAAACTGATATTCAGGCTTTTTGCTTGTTGACCTATGAACAGTTCAGTTGGTTTGGTCTTGAGCTAATAAGGACAGGTTTGTAGCAAGCATGTAATACCAGCTCTTGCTAAATAAATAACTAAATCACAGAATATGAGTAACATGCTTTTTCTATCATGCATTGTTTGGCTGGCAGGCCCAATTGGTTTTGTCATATGTAGGCAGATAAGAAGTTGGAATCACTTGAGACCAACTTGTAACCAAATATGACTATTTAGCAAAATGGGTTGAGCATCTTTATTCCCCTCAGACAACTTAATGACTGATTGATTCCAAGAACAAATCATATTCTGCTTTGTTTTTAAGGTTGGTAATATTGAATGCTGTCATTGCAGGCAATGCATGATGCGTGAGATGCTGCATTGGGCTCACATGAACTTGCTTGAATGGCACCGACAGAGGCAGGTCTATCCACTGCAGCCAGTGAAAGCTGCTCTTGTTCAAGCCATGTCCGACTTTCCGAATAACCCTAGCTTCTTGAAACTTTTCATAGATATCCAGGTTTGATGCTTGCATTTGAACAACTTTTTTCAATTCTTCATGTTTTAGATGGTTATTGCTGATTATTTTATCTTCCAGATGGGAAGCTTTTTGATTAGCAACATAAGGGATTATTTTGGGAAGAGCCTCAAACACTGTTATAGCATCTGGCCACCACATTTTTCAGTCTGGGCAGAGAAATGTCGCCTTCAGAAAGTGATGGAGACTTGTTCCAACCAAGACAGTCCTAGTGGTTTGGCACCTTTTCCCTTTTAATCATATCCTGTTCTCAGCAGCAAAATTTTAATTAAATGTCAGTAATGGTTGCAGGTGAAGTGCCCTGTTTTGGAGTGTGGAATCACATGGTGGCAACTCTGGAAGAACTTCTACACGGTCCTCCATGCAGCCAGAGTCCTTACCTCTGGCGATTGTATCTGAGAATCCTCTACGACAGTGGAAAGGTGGCTGCTCTCAAGTCAGTCTTCTATCAGGCGCTTGAGGAATGTCCTGGGGCCAAGGCAAGATTTTAAGCTTCTTACCAGCTTGCTCCAGTTTTTCCCCCTTTCATCATAGGAGTCATTCGTGTTGCAGGACATATACTTGGATGGGGTAAGATATGATGGATCCCTCCTTGAAGAAGTTTGTAACTTGGTAAATGAGAAGGGGTTGCGGCTCCGTTTACCACTTGAAGAGCTGCAGGTTTTGTCTGAACCACTGCCACAAAGCGATGATGAGGACCATGCTACTGTTAAGTCTGAGCCCCGTGAAGAACTTGATGATTCTTCCTCATCTGAGGAACCTACCTCCCCGATTGAAGACAAGGAACAAGTACACTCGAAGCAAAATGAAATGCCTTCAAAGGGTGAGGCAGAAGAGTGTTATATGGTATCCAAGCTGAATCAAGATGCAGGTACATTTACGTCAATGATGGAGATGAAAGTACATCAGGGTGCCATTTCAAATGATGAGACAGAATTGGCTTCATCTCATGATCTGAATGCTGAATATAATGCTGAATCAGAGCAAAAAACATAGGCCATATGAATTGCTCTCCCATTATTTCTTCACTGTGATCCCATATCAAGTAAAGAATTTCAATTGTGTTTTTCTTCAAGTTAGTTTTTTTTGCAAGCTGGATGTGAAAAGCCCAAAAGTTTCTAAAGTTCCCCATCTTGTTCCTACCTGTCCCCCAGTTTCCAAACTTTAAAGAGTTGTTGAAATGGAGTTGAAATCACCTCTGATACCTATTTTCAACTTCTGTGTATCCTTGCAATAATATACTAGGTCAGGCCATGTGGCTTTGACCAGACCCATTCATGGTCTGAAGGAGCGATTTTTGAGGTCACGAGGATCCATGGAATTAATGTGCAGGCCCAAGCAGAATTAATTTCATATCTCTTACCCCTTTCTCAGACTTTTGTCACAATATGTGGCAGGAAGTTCATTGCTCGATAGTCTGTTAATAGGAAAAGCAAAAAAAAGCCATGAAAGGAGCAGAATTAGGACTTTAATATTTGCATGGGATGTAATCATTCCATTTCAACATGCACAGTAGTAAATTGTGCAAACAATGATCTTGGTTAGTTTGAAGAGGATAAGAACAACAGTATATGCAGGAGATCCTGCCATGTCCTGTAACCCTCAATTGCAAGCGTGGGAGAAGGCTCTGCTGGATTATGTGAAGCGACGCAGTGGACGAGAGGGAAAGTTGCACTATACCGAAGAGTACAAGAGCAAGGGATACATGGAACCAACAGTGAGCAGCAGTGCCAAGCACTTTACCTCATCAGGTGACCTCAAGGATAAGACACTCAAGAAGGAGGAGGAACGAACTACTAAAAGCAGGACCCAGGTCAAGGGTAGGATGGTAGCTGAGAGGACAATGCCACAGTGGGATCCCAATGTCTTGCAGGCAGATGACACCTTCCAAGAGCTGTTTCAAGTTTGTGAGAGGATGGAGAAGAAAGTGTCTCTCAGAGGTATTGTGATCCTTTTCCACATTCCTTCCTTTATTAATCATATCATAGTACTGAATGAGAGATGTTGCAGGAAATAAGAGGCTGCAGGACTTGGTGAAAGAGCTGAAGTCTGAAGTGCAGAACTCAACCAGGAGCAAAGCAGCAGATAGCAGGAAGAACTCAGGTGTCAAAGTGGACCAGTACATTGAAAAGTACTTGGAAGAAGTCACTGCTCCACTTGTCTCAGAAAATCAGCAGTTACAGAGGCCTGTTCTTATAACTCATCAATGCCTTATTTCCTTAAGGAAGGCATTCATAATTCTCAACTCTATGCTCTTTATTATAGGCAGATTACTCAGATGGTGGAGATCTTAATGTTGATGGAGAACATGCTGGATGAAAAAGAACAAAAGATGAAATCCTCTGAGCAAAAGATTGACTCTTTGGAAGGGCAGTTGCTGCAAGTAAGGCATTATGAGACCAAAATTGCAGATCTTGAAGAGAAAAATGCTGCCTTGACAGAGGTAGGAGGGAACTACATTTAATTATATGAATTCCATTAACTGCATCATTTGTTTCAAAGGGAAGTGACTCACACCTCTTGCTATTTTTTCACAAAGAAATTGCAGGCATTAGATGATGATGATACCATCAGTCATCTCCTGGAGACAGTGACTGCATTAGAGCGGCAAAATGTCCAACTTGGAGATGAGCTGATTAAGAAGGAGCGGGACAGGGTCAGCTTTGAAGAAGAGACACGGTAAGACATGCTTTAAAAAGCCCTTTCACAAGTTATCTGTATGCAATTGAAAGTCACCATCTAAATTGTGTCCTAGGGCAACCCTGGAAAATTTGTTGAAAGTGCTTGATGCTTTCCCAGTCATGGCATATGAGAGCAAGCACTTTTTCTCAGGGAACAGCAGTTTGAAAAATCAGGATGGAACACAAAGTAAAGGCAAAGGAGATGAAGACAAAAGTGATAGTGAGGTAGGGAAAGTCAGCTATGTTGGAGCAGGGAAAGGAGATCTTAAGTTAAATGATCTCCGGAGTCCCAAGGAAATCCTGGCTGCTACTTTGACCAACTTCAGAAGTGCATTGGATGCCTCAGTGCCTTTTTCTTCACCCACAAAGAGTTATGTTACCAGCATCAGTGGTCCAAAATCTCCTGAAGATACCTTTCACATCTCCAGCTCCACATCCATCCCAGATGAAGACTTTGAGAACTTTGAAGTGGAGTTCAAAAGAAAAATACAGGAGCATGATGAATATCTAAAGAAGCTCAATGAAGAACTGGATTCCAGTCCTTTGTAGAAAGTGTCTGTGATTTGACTGTTTCATGGAAAATCTCATTCATTCCTTGAAATAAATCTGACATGTATTGCATCACAGAGAACTGGAACATCACACTCAGGGGTTCAGCCAATCTTTGAGATATTGGCATTTCTTGGGAGTAACAGCTCCAATATCACTGCAATTTTTCGATATCTGCATGAAGAAAATAACTTTAAAAACCTCTGATTTCAATATACACAGAAGGAAGAGCTAACAAAAATAAAACTCACAGGGCAGATGCCACAAGGCATCCGCACAAGACCAGGTGCTGTGAGTGGAGATTCAACAGCACGGAAGAGCTTTGTGTCTGTTCCTGCTCCACTTTCACCTGATACAGCTATGGACTTCTCCACTTTTCCATCAAATATGAGGGTATTCAAAATCGTCTCAATATCATCCAAAGATAAGGCCACCTAGTATCAATGCACCTTCTCTAGTAAGTCTCTTCAGTTTCACCAGTGACAGATGAAGGAATTGTTCACATACCTTGCTTATTCCCAATTCCGAAATAAATGTGCAGACAGCAGCAGATGATACAAATGAAGCATTTCGAATGGCAAGTGGTCCACCTTGAACTTTCTTGGCAGCAACAGCTTTTTCCTGGAGGTATCGATAACACTGCTGCATCAGCACTGCCACAAATTCAGCTTCAAAGTCCTGTTCTGAATACCAAGCTCCTCCAGTAAGGGAACGGTCAGGAACTGTGTCTTGCAGCATGTACACTTTCTTTTTGGATGCCTAAAAGTCCAGCAAATCACTTTGAGTAAGAAGGGATAGGAGAAAATATTTTTTCAACATGGTAGCATATAATGGAATCCCATACCGAAACAGACTTCACAGCTTTGATGAGCTTTCGTCCTTCAAGAGCCTTCAGAACCTTGTTCACATGTGTAAGGGCAAGGTTGGACTTCAGTCGAATGTCTCGAATCCATATTCCTTTGTTTCCTGCCTCTGAAATCAATTGATAGACAATTTTCTCCTCGTTCTCTCCTCCTTTGAGTACTGTGGCTGCTTTTTGCCTGTACACCAGTTCAGTGCCCTGCTTAAACAGGTCTATCTTTCCCTACAAAAGAATATGAGAGATAAATATACTTTATTGCATTTGCAGTCCAAACCTCCTACTTCCCTTGTCTAAACTGGGATTACTAATTGAGTATGCTATTTGGTGAAGGCCATTTTCAAGCTCAATGGAATGTGAAAATCATCATTAGTTGTGTATTGAATCTAAAATGACAGTTTTAAAATTATACCCAACATGCAATCATGGTAACTAGGGATACACCGATACCGATCCAAAGTATCGGTATCTACTGATCCGATCCAATTCTCCCTTGCCACATGCTGTACTTGATGTGCAGTACATACATTTTTGGAACGTCTCAGAAAAAAAAAACTCACTCATAATGGTATGTGGTTCCCTAAGTCCATCATAGTTCTTGTTAATCTCCAACAGGTAGACAATGAGCTTGGGCATGGTTAAAGCGGAATGCGAGAGATTTGAGAAGGGCATTGTACAAATGGAATGGGCCAGTGTCATTTATGTACACATGCATTCATTCCTTCACTTTCCTCCCTTCCGGCCTGTCTCCTGCCTTCCCGACTGGTTTGCATAGGTGCACTTTGTGCTCACATCCATCCTGCCTCTGGCTCTCCTCTTGAGCACCGATCCCGGTTGTACAGTATAGTTGCATCAACTCCTTAATCCCTTAAGGACATTAGATGTAGTTCCTACCTCTACTCCTCTTCACACCAATCATCCTTTGTACGTAGTACTTACATCTGACATATTCTCAGCAGGCCTGGTGAATGGTGGGAGGAAGTTTTGGCCTATCCTCAAGAAATACAGGGTGTCTCAAAAAAATGTATACACACTTTAATAATAAAAAAATATATGTTAAGTAATTCAGAGAGGTACTATGTTCAGTGTGTGGAGAAGCAAGGGTTTGAATTGCATGGTTCACTACCACAAATGTTCAAATTGTTCACTGTTAGCATCCAGGTGCTGTTGACAGCAGTGAGCAACAGTGCAACAAACTTGTGGACAGGTTTCTGCTGGGATAACAGCATAGGACTCCTCAATTTCATGCGATCATGTGAATGCTTGCAACAGCAGCATTTTCCCACCTGTTGATGTGTGAGGTCTATCAGAACATTGTTTGCACATTACCGTACTAGCAATGTTCTGGGAGACCATGCACTGTACCATCAGCATCAAACTTATCCTTGAAAGTTCTAGAACATCATGGTGGCATAGTTGCAAGTTCATTTCTCCACCTTCTTTGCATTTCACATATGTTCTCAGATTTCCAGAATCACTCTTGATTCAAGTGTGTATACATCTTTTAGAGAGACCCTGTATATTGCCAAAGTAAATGTCTCCAAAGCTAAATAAATGACAGGAACTTTGAATGTTGGGTCATTAGTGTCTGAGGATTTTTCATTTCTTCCCTTCTATGCCAAAGGTAGGATAAGGCCTTCTAAGGTTTGGTCCTGTGTCGTGGTTTCATTTCTGACAGCCACTGGGGGCTATCTGTATTGGTATTGGCTGATACCATGACACTGGGATCAGTATTGGTATCAGCTAATCCTGGATCGGTGCATCCCCAATTTTAACATAGAATTCTGAGCACTCCAAGGAAAAAGACAAGAGCCAGGCCCACTCAGGAAACATCAGAATGATCAGGGCTCACTGCATTGCATTGTTTCAGTATGTAATCTAGTTACTGTCCAGAATTATTCATTTGTAGAGATGAGCCTTCTTACCAAACATTTTTCTTTCAGTTGAATACTCACTTTAGCAAGAAGCCTGTTGATGGCATTCACACGTTCCTTGGCATCAAGAAGGGGCATGTCATTTTGTAGAACCTTGTCCGGAACTCCCTTGGGGAATTCAGTGCACAGTTCCAAGATCCTAGGGATGGCAAGTAAAAAAAAAAAAGTAGTTACATGCAATACCTTGACATTTGAAATTATCAAGACTATCCACATAAAACCCATTTTCACAGGAATCAAGGCTGTCAAGGTCTGCTAAGGAATGGGAAGGCCATTTTATTTCTCACCTTGTTTCTATAACTTCTGAGTTATTGGATGGTCCTGGTCGGTCAATGTCCATAGGTTCTTGTTTCACAGATAATCCAGCCATTTTGTGTTAAGATGAGGCAAGCAGTTCTTTGCTGCTGGCAACAGTGGCAATTGTAAATGTTCAATACATCACCACTATCATTTCCAACATATTAATTCATAATTAAGAAGTTGCTAACAATCAGCCTGTAAGATTTGTTGGTCATTCCATGTTATGAAACCTAGGAAAAAGTCAGGGAATCTACAAATGTTTCAGCCTTAGATCTTATGTGGAAAGGTGAAAAATGGGGAGAAGTTTACTTTAAAATTAGGGGAAAATGATGGAGCAACAAGGATGCTAAGTGAATCAAATGAGGCTATATAAGGAAACTAAAGGTTATCCTTCAAGTCCTATATGCTTTTTCTTTCATGTATAGTGACTTATTGAAGTAGGGTTCTTTTGGGAATATTATCCATTTTTATTGAAACTGAAATTGAGCCATAGATACCAATGTGAAAGACTTTGCCTGGGGACTTAAGATTCGAAAATGCTCAAATTTAAACAAAAGAAGGCTTTAAGTAACCATTTAAAATCCAATCCCTACAGATGAAACTCCTGATGAGGAATGCCAAATCATAAAGAGCTGATGACATCAAAACTATTGGTAGGCCTACATTATACAGTGATTATATCCTTGTACTATAGATCTGGATTTACATCATGTCAATCTATGTGCTGAGCCAAAAGAGATATTCCCACCCTGTCCATGGGAGAACAGGAAAAGCTAGCACAGAAAGCCTTTCTATGCATGCAATAGTTTTTCTATATTTGGTTGTCAGAAGTGTTTCAACAAGGCATTCCAATACATGATGCAATTTTTTAATCATGTCATCCATGAATTGATCCAAATCTTTGAAAACAGAATTTTCACACAGTTACAGCAGCCAGCTTTTCAGCTGTTATGGGCTCCATGCTCTTGAGTCCATCTTTGGAGATGCAGTTGACCTGGAAATTAGGCATGTTGACAATGAGGCGTTTCTGGACTTCCTTGACACATTTTTTCATTAGTTCATATCCTTCTTCCACACTCATGTTTTCTTGGTAGTAGCGATCAATCACGGACATGCTGAAGAATCCACCATAGCCATGGGCTGCAAAGGGGACTTTTACCAGTGTTGCCAAGTAGTCAGCATAATAAAGCTCTGGTCCGTTTGTATCATCATAGCCTCCAATCATGAGGTTGACATAATAAGGAGTTCGGCTTCTTAAAGACTCTGCCATGTTACGCCGGATGAAGCTTGATGCAGCTGCAGGGCTCAGCTCATATTCATTTCTCATCTTGTACAGCTGTAGATTCTTGGCAATGTACTCAGCAAACTGGGTTGTATCACCTGGTTCACCACTGACAGCCATTGCTAACTTGCTGCCCAACTTGTAAATCTTCTCCTCATCATGCTTCATCATGATGATACTATGAGCAACATTCATATCTGCAGCCAGCAGGATATAGTCTTTGAACTGGATCCCAATCAAACACTCCATTCTTTTCTGAACCCTGGGATATGTATGTCAGAACAAATGCTTCTATGCAGCATAAACAATCTGCCAACAAGAAGTTGAGCTGATTTAGACCTAATTGATTAATGCTCAAAATGTAATATGCCTATGAATATCCTTATGGTATGTCCTACTGTGAAAAATAAATCTGTATTATGTTCAAGCTACATGAAAATTCAACCAAGAGAAAAAAAGAAAAACAGCCAGGAAAGGACAAGGTATCAGCCAAAGTGCAATATATAATACAGCTAGTCTTCACAGTGTTAGGCAGGGATAGAGCTTAGTTGGTGCCTTGGGTGAATTTAAGGAGTGGCATGTAAAGCCCATCTATGGGGCCACCTTTACAATTGGTCCCCAATGTCAATTTTTTTTGGAGCCATCTGGGATGAGTCTAACCCTAGAACTGCCAACCATCAATAAAATAAATGTTGGCAGGCCACTGTGCTGCTTCTGGCAGTTCCATTAATTGCCATTAATGCATGAGATATGAAGATGCTTGAACTGAAAATCCAATGTTTAAGGTCTTCAAATATGTACATTATTCTCTATGGAGAATGTAGAAGTTCCTTTAATCTCAACCTCTGGTCGAAGTAGCCCAGAGTGATACTGAGTGACTTGTGGTGACCAAAAAGTGGCCTAAATTGTCTGATTGATCCATCTTGGGCTTCATTAGCAGTGGGTGGTATAATTTTACAAATTCATTATTACAATACAAAACTCTCATTATTACACAGTACTCAGGGTTGACAAAAAGAGACCCAATGTGACCCAATTTGGTGACTTTCAATTTTAGTAAACTTGTGTCACCTTAAGAAAATTAAGACAATCAATCAGTTAGATGATTTGGGTCACCTTGGGCAATCATGAGTCATTCTGAATCAAATTTAATCACTCCATCTCAATTTAAGTATACTTGTATTGCCCTAGAGTAAGGCCCAAGTTGGGTCAATTGAACATATTGGGTCTCTTTTGGTCAACTCTGTGTACTGAGTAATAATGAGTGTCAGAGTAGGTCATTCAGTCACCTTGGATCACAATGGGTCACCATATGCCACTCTGGGTCAAATTTGGCCTCAGATTCAATATTTGTAAATTTGTATCACCCACTGCTAATTAAGCCCAAGATGGAAGATTGGACAATTTAGGCCACTTGGGTCACCACAGGTCACTCAGTATCGCTCCGGGCCACTTGGACCAGAGTGTGAGATTAAAGGAATTTAGTAGATTCAGAATCAACTCAATTAGCTTGAGTTTCAGACAATTAGGCTGAAATTGACCACCATGTTAATTCCCATTGATTCCTGATTTTTGTTACACCCTGTACATGTTACAGCAGAGTATAAAATCAAGCTTTCCATATTGAATACCTAGGTTTTCTATACATTACCTGAATTTTATACTCTGGCTGTTACATATACATGGTTCTTATATTCACTTTGCTCCAGTGGTGTGGGAACCAATTGTAAAGTTAAACTGAAAAACTTCCCCCTTTCTCCCTCCCCCCCCCCCCCCCATTTTGGTGAAGGTGACCAGAGCTTGTCAAAGTCAACATTTTGACTTAAAATTGAACCCATGGCTTCCTTTTGTTTATATGGAGCAGAAAAATATTTCCTCCTGTCAATTCTAACACAAAAAACACCACAAAAAGGTTCTCCCATCCTCCTATCAAATTGCACAAAGAACCCCCTTACTTCCCAGTCCAGTAAGAATACCTCCATTCCTGCAGATATGTCTAAGGATGGGGAAGCAGATGTCATTTGTGCATCTTCTTCTTTAAAAGATGGATTTAAATGCCATAAGTGAACCCTGCCTAGTGGGTTTTATTGGCACCCCTTTAAATACCTTGCCATAACAACAGCCATCATTCCTTTCCAAATGAAAGGAACACTATGGGTATATGGGTGCCTAAGGTAAAGAAGTGCACACTCCATTATTCTCAGGATTCAGGAGAACCCAGTTGTGAGTCTAAGGATACTTTTCTAGGGATTGTGTGAATACCAGTCGTGGGTTAAAGGTAAAGCTGGGCAACTGTGAGAGAGTTATCAGCATGGAATCAACTTTACCAGAGGATAATCATCTATGCACCCACCTAGCTTAATCAAATTCCAGGCTAGGTTAGCCAAGACCTAGCTTCCTTACAATATAATGTGGATATCAGGGAAGGACATAGGAAACATATATTTATGATTAGGAGGCAGCTGTTGATGTCCTAGGCCTACACACATCAGGGGTCTAACACTTCAACGTCAGCTTAGACAAAAAGGCCTAGGCCTAGCCATAGAATGACTACTCCCAAGAATTTGGGTCGTGCGATGCCAAATTAAAGGCGCTCCAACGTTAGCAACTGAGGTGCTTCTACTCCTTTATTGTCGCATTTCACTGCAGTGTCTGCTGGCTCTCATACTGGTTCACGATGCAAACCTTCCATCTGGCGTGCCCATCCCCACCGAACGCTATGAGCGACTATCAGGAAGAATGGTGTGACCTGAAACGCTGGTCTTGCAGCACAATCGACTTCAGTAATGTAGAGAGGGTGACACAGCGAAACGCGGCAGCGGGCGGCCATTGAAATCTCTTTACACCTGCCATCTGTTGAGACGTGGACAAGTTGCGCGTCTCTGTATTCATGAAATAGGAGTCGATTTTAGGCGAGTCGTATTTGCGAGACCCCACAAGTAATGTCACCTATCTTTTTCGTAAACAATTCTCCCTATTATCCTGAAGTTTTCAGGATGTCTTATTAAGCCTTCCTGTCCGTCAAGCTTTTACTTTAATTTTACTAGATTACTCAGTTTTGGTCGAGCGTTCGTAGCGTGAGGACGTGTTGGAGGATACTCTCGAGGTTCTGTCAGCTAAGTCGTGAGTTAGTTATTACCTGGCTACTTTGTAGCAGTACTCATAAGTTTTTCTGATAGCTACCTCCAACTTCACATTAGATCAGTATCAATCAGCTTAATTACTTTAATTATTAGCACATTATGTCGAGCGTTCGTAGCGTGAGGACGTGTTGGAGGATACTCTCGAGGTTCTGTCAGCTAAGTCGTGAGTTAGTTGTTACCTGGCTACTTTGTAGCAGTATTCATAAGTTTTTCTGATAGCTACCTCCAACTTCACATTAGATCAGTATCAATCAGCTTAATTACTTTAAGTATTAGCTCATTACTCGTAGTATTCCTTTTACTACAAGGACTAGGACAGTACAGTCTTACCGGGTTACGTAAGCTGCGTGCATTCGCGTAGAAACACTTGACTCTTCCCTGCCTTTCCTGCACACCAGTACGTCGCGGTCTAAAACTGCTCGTAGTGGCTGTCCCTTGCTTGTGATCCCTTGCCCCCCATCTACAACCCTAAAAAAGGCTCATTAGCGTGGAGGAGGAGATAAGAGGGATCAGGAAGGAGGTGGCGAGATACAGAGGGGAGGCATTCCAGCTCAAGTGGTCAAGGGGTGGTTGGGCTTCAGACTCCGATTTGCTTTAAAAAATTAGTGCATGCTGGCAATCAAGACTTATGAAAAAATCCAAAATTTTGACTCTCTGGTTCTAACAGATCTCGAGACATGCGACCCCAAACTTCGCCCCCAAGAGGAAAAGTGGCCTTTAGGGTTAAAGCGCTATCTTTGGTCCTAGTCGAGCTAAAAACTCGTTTTTGGACTCTAGGTAAAGCTGAGACCATGTAGAATCGGATTATTAAATGCATTCTCTGCAGCGCTTATTAGAAATTGAGTTATGCAATTTCAAAAATCGTAAATATTGCAGAATTTTGCACGCAAATTATTAGCACTAAGAAGCATTATAACACCACGACCTTTCGTAACATTGTAGACTAAGGCAATGGCAATTTAAGAACTAAATTTCAGCTTCCTACGTTTTTTGAAACAACTTAAAATTAAATTTGAAATGTCCAAAATTGCCCATTTTCACCAACTTTGGCGGTTCGTACTTCCTGTTTTAAACAAGATATAAACTTGTTACTAGTGTCAAATGAAAGCTCTCTCTAAGCGCTTTCCATTGATATATTACTCGTGTTGTTACTTTTACTTTTCATGCCTGTGTGTTTTTTTTTTTTACTTTTGAATTCCGCATTTCCCAAATTCCCCAACGAATTTTCCAAATTCCCGAACTGACTGAAATTACAGCGATGGGAATCTTGCTTAAACAACCAGACCTGTGCATATCTCACATTTGACTCGTAAATATCGCTATTTCTATTATATGCTTGCATTAAACAATCAAATATCAATATTCAATACATTAATGGATTTCCAAACGCAATAATTTAGTCGGTATCTTTAACGCATGCATGCATGTACATTTCAGAAGATTCAGACTTCAGAATGGAGTTGTGTTCCTTCAAAGTGTAATATGGCTGTAACCAAGCGTAATGTGGCTGTTGCATATGTCAAAGGGCAGTGTTCGTGCCTATAATACATCTAAATATGAAGCCTTTCAATTTATGCACACTGACATTTGACATACGAGGGGAGGTCTAAAAGTATTTATAATTTGTTTACCATTGCACAACCGTATATGCTACTGAACTGTCAACCATATTCAGTGCAAGGTTCGGTATCTGCCATGGGAGACTGGCTCTTTCGTCCTTTGACAGCGCATCGAGTGCCGACTCCCAGGTGGCTAGTAATTGGGCTTAGATCATAAAGGGAACGAAGGTTAAGCTAGGTTAAGCGATCCCAGGAGGCAGTCATTAAGACCGAAAACAAGTTTCTCGGGTTGAGGGAGGTCAGCTTGGATGAGGGAATGGAGGGCGGTGTGGGAACAGGTGTGAGGTTGGCAGGACAAGCTCAAGCCGTGTTGAAAGCGAGAGGGAAAACTCGGGCCCTTGTAATCGTCGGTGAATCGAACGTCAGGCGTCTTGAGGGAGCGATGGAAAAAGATTCAGGAGCTCAGGCTTCTTTCAGTCAGTTTCCCGGTGCTAGGATTGAACACATTAGGGATAGGATCGGATCGGTGGTGTGCTCCAAGTCAGCC